TGTTGGTTTGTCATAAATAGCTTTTATTACTTTGAGATATGTTCCATCGATACCGAGTTTATTGAAGGTTTTTAGCATAAAGTGCTGTTGAATTTTGTCAAATGCCTTCTCTGCATCAATTGAGATAATCATGTGGTTTTTGTTTTTGGTTCTGTTTATGTGGTGAATTATGTTTATAGACTTGTGTATGTTGAACCAGCCTTGCATCCCCGGGATGAATCCTACTTGATCATGATGGATAAGTTTTTTGATTTGCTGTTGCAATTGGCTTGCCAGTATTTTATTGAAGATTTTTGCATCTATGTTCATCATGGATATTGGCCTGAAGTTTTCTTTTCTTTTTGGGTCTCCGCTGGGTTTTGGTAACAGGATGATGTTGGTCTCATAAAATGATTTGGGAAGGATTCCCTCTTTTTGGATTATTTGGAATAGTTTCAGAAGGAATGGTACCAGCTCCTCCTTGTGTGTCTGGTAGAATTCGGCTGTGAACCCATCTGGACCTGGACTTTTTTTGTATGGTAGGCTCTTAATTGCTGCCTTGACTTCAGACCTTGTTATTGGTCTATTCATAGTTTCGGCTTCCTCCTGGTTTAGGCTTGGGAGGACACAGGTGTCCAGGAATTTATCCATTTCTTCCAGGTTTACTACTTTATGTGCATAGAGTTGTTTGTAATATTCTCTCATGATGGTTTGAATTTCTGTGGAATCTGTGGTGATTTCCCTTTATCATTTTTGATTGCATCTATTTGGTTGTTCTCTCTCTTTTTTTTTTTATCAGTCTGGCTAGTGGTCTGTCTATTTTGTTGATCTTTTCAAAAAACCAGCTCTTGGATTTATTGATTTTTTGAAGGGTTTTTCGTATCTCTATCTCCTTCAGTTCTGCTCTGATCTTAGTTATTTCTTGTCTTCTGCTAGGTTTTGAGTTTTTTTGATCTTGCTCCTCTAGCTCTTTCAATTTTCATGATAGGGTGTCAGTTTTGGATCTCTCCACTCTTCTCATATGGGCACTTATTGCTATATATTTTCCTCTAGAGACTGCTTTAAATGTGTCCCAGAGATTCTTGTATGTTGTGTCCTCATTCTCGTTGGTTTTGAAGAACTTCTTTATTTCTGCCTTCGTTTCATTGTTCATCCAGTCAACATTCAAGAGCCAGTTGTTCAGTTTCCATGAAGCTGTGCAGTTCTGGGTTAGTTTCTGAATTCTGAGTTCTAACGTGATTGGACTATGGTCTGAGAGACTGTTTGTTATGATTTCAGTTGCTTTGCATTTGCTGAGGAGTGCTTTACTTCCAATTATGTGGTCAATTTTAGAGTAGGTGTGATGTGGTGCTGAGAAGAATGTATATTCTGTGGATTTGGGGTGGAGAGTTCTGTAAATGTCTATCAGGTTTGCTTGTTCCAGGTCTGAGTTCGAGTCCTGGATATCCTTGTTAATTTTCTGTCTGGTTGATCTGCCTAATATTGACAGTGGAGTGTTAACGTCTCCCACTATTATTGTGTGGGAGTCTAAGTCTCTTTGTAAGTCATTAAGAACTTGCCTTATATATCTGGGTGCTCCTGTATTGGGTCCATATATATTTAGGATCATTAGCTCCTCTTATTGTGTCAATCCTTTTACCATTGTGTAATGACCTTCTTTGTCTCTTTTAATCTTTGTTGCTTTAAAGTCTATTTTATCAGAGACCAGATTTGGAGCTCCTGCTTTTATTTGCTCTCCATTTGCTTGGTAAATCTTCCTCTATCCCTTTATTTTGAGCCTTTGTGTATCCTTGCATGTGAGATGGGTTTCCTGGATACAGCACACTGATGGGTTTTGGTTTTTTATTCACTTTGCCAGTCTGTGTCTTTTGATTGGTGCATTTAGCCCATTTACATTTAGGCTTAATATTGTTATGTGTGAATTTGATACTGCCATTTTGATGCTAGCTGGCTGTTTTGCCCGTTAGTTGATGCAGATTCTTCATTTTGTTGATGCTCTTTAACATTTAGTGTGTTTTTGGAATGGCTGGCACTGGTTTTTCCTTTCTATGTGTAGTTCCTCTTTCAGGAGCTCTTGTAAAGCAGGCCTGGTGGTGACAAAAATCTCTGAGTACTTGCTTGCTCGCAAAGGATTTTATTTTTCCTTCACTTATGAAGCTCAGTTTGGCTAGATATGAAATTCTGGGTTGAAAGTTTTTTTCTTTAAGGATGTTGAATATTGGCCCCCACTCTCTTATGGGCTGTGGAGTTTCTGCTGAGAGATCTGCTGTGAGTCTGATGGGCTTCTCTTTGTGGGTGACCTGACCTTTCTCTCTGGCTGCCCTTAGTATTTTCTCCTTCATTTCAACCCTGGTGAATCTGACGATTATGTGCCTTGGGGTTGCCCTTCTTGCGGAGTATCTTTGTGGTGTTCTGTGTATTTCCTGAACTTGAATATTGGTTTGCATTGCTAGGTTGGGGAAATTTTCCTGGATAATATCCTGAAGAGTATTTTCCAGCTTGGATTCGTTCTCTTCGTCACATTCTGGTACACCTATCAAACGTAGGTTAGGTCTCTTCACATAGTCCCACATTTCTTGGAGACTTTGTTCATTTCTTTTTGCGTTTTTTTTCTTTAATCTTCGTTTCTCATTCTATTTCACTGAGTTGATCTTCGACTTCTGATATTCTTTCTTCTGCTTGGTCAATTAGGTTGTTGAAACTTGTGCATGCTTTGCGAAGTTCTTGTGTTGTGTTTTTCAGCTCCTTCAATTTATTCATATTTCTCTCTAAATTATCCATTCTTGTTATCATTTCCTTGAATCTTTTTTCAAGGTTCTTAGTTTCTTTGCATTGATTTAGAACATGTTCTTTTAGCTCACGGAAGTTTCTCATTACCCACCTTCTGAAGTCTAATTCTGTCATTTCATTACACTCATTCTCTGTCCAGCTTTGTTCCCTTGCTGGTGAGGAGTTTGGGTCCTTTGTAGGAGGCGAGGTGTTCTAGTTTTGGGTGTTTTTCTCCTTTTTATGCTGGTTTCTTTCCATCTTTGTGGATTTATCCACCTGTCGTCTGAGTAGTTGCTCACTTTTCGATTGGGTCTCTGAGTGGACGCCCAGATTATTAATGATGAAGTATTTCTGTTACTTGGCTTTCCTTCTACCAGTCTAGCCCCTCCGCTGTATGACTGCTGAGGTCCACTCCAGGCCCTGCTTGTCTGGGGTACACCTGTAGCAGCTGCAGAACAGTGAGGGATGCTACCAGTTTCTTCTGCTGCTATCTTTGTCCCAGAATGATGCCCGCCAAATGTCCATCTGATCAGTCCTTTTTGAGGTGACTCTTTGGATATACAGGGGTCAGGGAGCTGCTTGAGGAAATGGTCTGTACTTTAAAGGAACTCAAGTGCTTAGCTGTGAGCTTCATTGTTCATTCAGGGCTGTTAGGCTGCTACATTTAAGTCTGCTGCAGCAGGACTCATAAAACCCCTTTTTTTCCTCAGATGCTCTGTCTCGGGGAGTTAGGGCTTTCTTTATGAGTGCCCGTTGCACTGTCCTGCCCAGCTAGGAGGCAGTCTAGTCACTATTTGCCTGCCGAGGCTCTGCCCTGCTGGCGTGGGGTCCGCCCTGTTTCTGTGGGCTCTGCCCTGCTGCTGGGATCTCCGCCCTGCTGCCACGGGCTCTGCCCTGTGGCGTAGTCTCTCTGTTATGGCGGCTTGCCTCGGCAATGGCAGGCTGCATCAGCAATGGGAGTGTACCTCCATAGGGGCAGATTGCCTCAGTAATGGCGGATGCCCCTCCCCCACTGAGCTGCACCGTCCTGGGTTCAGCTGTGCCTGCAGTGAAACTGTCCACCTGGAGTGTTTCGAATCACTGTTTTGTTTGTCCCTGTGGGGGTGAAACCCACCGAGCCTGCTCACCTGGCTCCCTGCCTCAGAATGCCTTTCTTTTTTTTTCAGTTGAACGGTTGACTCTCTCCCAGGTGTTTCAGTCACTTGATGTTAGGGCACCGCGATCTGTGTGATTTCCCATGCAGCGACCCACTGCGCTGGCTCAAACGCTGCTTCCCAGGAATCTCCTGGTCTGGTTCACTGTCTAAGTTCCGTTTAATCAGATGGATATGCCATTCGGCCCTCTCAAATCGCAGATTGCCAGTTTAACAGGGCACCCTGGCCAGTGCGTTTTGTGCAGAGTGTTGCAGAGTGCCTTTGCGCTGCAGCACCAGCCGAAGCGGCCGCACCAGCCAAAACAGCTACGCTGGTGTCCCATGTCTCTCCTACACCTGGGAATTTTCCCGTTCTGTGGGCAATGAAGATCCGTCTGGAAATGCGGCTTTGACTCTCCCTCTGCATGTTCACTGAGAGCTGCAATCCTGAGTTGTTCTTACCGCCCCATCTTGTATCCCCCTCTACTACTCATTTGATCAATTCTTACAATAGTGATGAGCTAAGAAAAAAATGTCAAGAAAACAATTATTTGGTACTTCTCTGCTTTATAAAGCAAAAGAAAAAAATCTTCATGATTTTCTAGTGGTCTTATGGGAAATTTTAAAGATGGTTTTATGTGTGAAGAAAATCCTGACATTTTAATTTTTCTGAATCTAGGATGTGATTCTGGGAAAGCAAAACCAAGTTACTGTAGTACTTTAGATCACCTATTAATACAGGGTCAGATGTGACTGAGAAACAATAAATTCAGTATCTATTGATCAAAATGACAATACAATATTTTAAATAATGAGATCATGATGACACAAAAGAAAGGAGTCTTACCTTTGCAGCAAATGAGGAATGTTAAGTTTTTGCTGCTTAATAATCAAGGGCTTGAAAAAAAATCAGCACAAAATACAGAAAACTGTTTTGATGAGATATGGAATTTCTATGTTGTCAGACCAGATAGAATGTAAAGGAATGAACTTTTACTTCCCTTTGTCTCACAAACAGTGTGAGACAAACTATTATTTTAATACATAGAAAATCAAATTCTAGTTTTACATTAATATAATAGTTACCAGGAAAGGATTTCTTAGCTCCTTGCCCTTTTTTTTTTTAATGGAATGTATCATGATTCTGTGAGTCATCCTTGTTCAGAGGTCATGCTAATCTTCTTGTATCATTCCAATGTTAGCATATGTGCTGCCTAACTGAACACCCTATCCCTATTTCTGTTGTATTTTTTTGAAGCAGGGTCCTGTTTGGTCACCCAGGCTGGAGTGCAGTGGCATGCTTATAGTTCACTGCAGCCTCTGTCTCCTGGCCTGCCCTATTTCAAAAACAATCTTACAAATAAACTCGTCAAAATGGAGGAAATGTTGCCAACATTTTCAAATATATTTTATTGCGTCTTTTCCAACTCTTTATTGGCAGTGAGGCAAATAAATTGTTTTCTGCATACTTACAACTTTCTATATCTATTCAAGATTTGTCTTACACAATTCATTTTCACATTCTAGAAGAACCAAACCTTTTAGTTTAAGATGGAAAATATTTTCATTACCTTACATTCATAGTCATACTTTTCTGCTACTATTGCTTTAGTATAGTCTTTGATTATTTATGTAAATTCTAACTTTCAAAGTAGCTGATTTCTATTTCATAGATAAAACTGGAAGTGGGTAAAGAAGTATCTATTGCTGGGCACGGTGGCCTGTAATCCCAGCACTTTGGGAGGCCGTGGCAGGCGGATCACGAGGTCAAGAGATCGATACCATCCTGGTCAACATGGTGAAACCCCGTCTCTACTAAAAATACAAAAAATTAGCTGGGCATGGTGGTGCGTGCTTGTAATCCCAGCTACTCAGGAGGCCGAGGCAGGAGTATTGCCTGAACCCAGGAGGCGGAGGTTGCGGTGAGCCGAGGTCACACTATTGCACTCCAGCCTGGGTAACAAGAGTGAAACGCCATCTCAAAAAAAAAAAGAAGAAGTATCTATTATATACACTTTAGCAAATTAACAAAACTCATGAGTACACTCATATAACCTCCTCGGGTCACCCATATCCATATTTCACTCTTTAAATCAGAGAAAACACAGTTATTGGTTAGGAAAACACAATCATTAACACAAACAACAGATATACCTACTATAAGAAACAAAGTGTATATATTAAAAATATGTTGGGTGACCAAATTTTATAATTCTATTTCCCTTAAAAATTATCTAAGTGTCCAAGTTATCTGTTAAATAACTTGATCTAAGAATAGGCTAAAGTTTTAAAGTTAAATAAGGTTCTTAGTTATGTTGACAAACTACAACTTAGAAAATCATTTTTCAGTATTTTAATTTAAGAATTTAAATCATTTGTAGTCACATAACTTAATGTGGGGACTTAGAACTGAGGTCCCCTATGTTAATTTGACTTACCTATTGCTTAAAAAATTATTGCCCAGAAATATAAAGCTATAAACCCATATAAAACTTTACTACTTGCTTCAGGAAATTCCTGAACAGTAACTTATCTATATAGTTTGTTTGTCTGGCCAAGCAACTCTTTTTTTCTTTTTGAGATGGAGTCTTATTCTGTCACCCAGGCTTACTGCAACCTCCGCCTCCCAGGTTCAAGGGGTTTTCCTGCCTCGGCCTCCTGAGTACATGGGATTACCTTCGGGTGCCACCACACTTGGCTAATTTTTTATTATTTATTTTATTTTCGTATTTCTAGTAGAGATGGAATTTCACTATGTTCATCAGGCTGGGCTCAAACTCCTGACCTCATGATCTGCCCACCTCAGGCTCCCAAAGTGCTAAACCACCGTGTCTGGCCCAAGCAGCCTCTTTTATCAGGATAACCGATTGCTTATCTGGCCAAACAGGTATCTTATAAAAAAAAAAAAAATTACTTACTGGCCAGGCACAGTGGCTCAAGCCTGTAATCCCAGCTCTTTGGGAGGCTGAGGCGGGCGGATCACTTGAGATCAGGAGTTCGATACCAGCTTTGCCCACATCGCAAAACCCCGCCTTTACTAAAAATACAAAAATTAGACTGGGTGCATTGGCTCACGCCTGTAATTCCAGCACTTTGGGAGGCCAAGGTAGGTGGATTGCCTGAGGTCAGGAGTTCAAGACCAGCCTGGCCAACATGGTAAAACCCTGTTTACTAAAAAACAAAAAACTAGTCGGGCATGGTGGTAGGTGCCTGTAATCCCAGCTACTCTGGAGGCTGAGGCAGGAGAATCACTTGAACTCTGGAAGTGGAGGTTGCAGTGAACCTAGATCTTGCCGTTACACTCCAGCCTGGGTGACAAGAGCGAAAAAGATTCACCTGTATAATATGAACTCATGTTTTCTTACAAACCTGCTTCTAATCTTGAGATTTCCATAATAATTTTTAAGCCTAGTTTTAAATGAACAGTTTATTTATTTCCTGAGAAATTTGCAAATGCCAGAGTTATATCAGTGCTTATTTTTCTCTATGAACCAATTAGAGTGGAACTATTTAGATTTGAGAGACTTTATAATTTATTTACATATATGAGGTGGAAAAATGACAAACTCACAAAATGAAAGGTAAAGGTTTTTCACAATTACAGATAGACTTACTGAGACTGGGAACTTGAAGTTTCAGTTCTACAACCTCAATAACGAGTCAACAGTAAACACAGAACCGTAAAAATCACTAGTGCAGATCTCAAAGGAATATTTTATTTTTGGTGAGCAAAAAATGTTTTCCTGATTGAGTTGAGCTCACAAATAGTCAAACAGACAAGTAAACAAAAAAACGGTTAACAAACCATATTTTTTACTGTCTGTCACCCAACAGAAACTGATCCCCTTTATGTCCTGAGAGAGATTGCTAGATGATCTCATCATAAAACCAGACTCCCAAATACTACTCTTTTCTTTTTTTTTGAGACGAAGTTTTGCTCTTGTCACCCTGGCTGGAGTGCAATGGCACGATCTCCACTCACTACAACTTTTGCCTCCTTGGTTCAAGCAATTCTCCTGCCTCAGCCTCCCAAGTAGCTGGGATTATAGGCTCCTGCCACCATACCCAACTAATTTTTGTAATTTTTTTTTTTTTTAGTAGAAACAGGATTTCTCCATGTTGGCCAGGCTGGCCTTGAACTCCTGACCTCAGGTGATCCACCTTTCTTGCCCTCCCAAAGTGCTGGGATTACAGGTGTGAGCCACCATGCCCAGCCCCCAAATATTACTCTTTTGAATGAAGAACAACTTGTTGACACTGTACCATCAGACTTAAGTATACATAAGATGCTTTTTGACTATGAAATCAAGACTGTCACAATGGTCTGATGTACTCGATTGTCCCCGGGTCTGGCTGTAAAGTTAGATGAGACATTAAGAGTTGGCTAAGAACCAGGAAAAAAACCTAAAATCTCCCGTGGTATACTCAGAGAATGATGATTTAGGCTTATTTATTTATTTCAATAGGCTTTTGGGGAACAAGTGGGTTTTAGTTATGCGAATAAGTCCTTTGGTGGTGATTTCTGAGATTTTGGTGCACCCAATACCAAAGTAGTGTACATTGTACCCAGTGTGTAGTCTTTTACCCCTTAGCCCCCTGCCACTCTTTCCCCTGAGTCCCCAAAGTTCTTTGAATCATTTTCATATCTTTGCATCATTATAGCTTAGCTCTCACTTATGAATGGGAACATACAACGTTTGGTTTTCCATTTCTGGGTTAGCACCAGGAATAATGATCTCCAATTCCATCCAGGTTGCTACAAATGCCATTATTCCTTTCCTTTTTATGGCTGAGTAGTATTCCATGGTATATACATAAACCACATTTTCTTTATCTGCTCATTGATTGATGGACATTTGGGCTGGTTTCCTATTTTTGCAGTTGTGAATTGTGCTGCTATAAATATGCGTGGGCAAGTATCTTTTTGCACACGCAAAACGATATAGTGACTTCTTTTCCTTTGGGAAGATATCCAGGAGTGGGATTGCTGGATCCAATGGCAGATATACTTTTAGTTCTTTAAGAAATCTCCACACTGTTTTCCAAATTGGTTGTACTAGTTTACATTCACACTAACAGTGTAAAAATGTTCCTTTTTCACAACATCCATGTCAACATCTATTATTGTTGATTGTTTGATTATGACCATTCTCACAGGAGTAAGGTGGTATCACATTGTGGTTTTGATTTGCATTTTTCTGATAATTAGTGATGTTGAGTATTTTTTCATACATTTCTTGGCCTGATCTAGTGTGTTTTGGTATCAAATAGTTTAAATGAGGAGTAGGATGGCCAAAGGGGCCATATTACTGATGACCTTGAATGTTAAGAAGTGACAGTAAATCATTTTTAATATGTTAAAATACATTTTGTATAAAAGATAAAATCACAACTTTTATATTAATATGAAAATAAACATATGTTAAAGATTTTGTTTAATTCAACAGGAAACAGGTGAAATGTTACAGTAGTCATTGAAGGATTTTTAAGTATTATTAATCAGGAATATTTAAATAAATGTGCTAATGAAGGTAAGACTGGCTTCATGGGGACAGATGGGAAAGGAGGCAAGTCAGTTGACTTTTCACCAGACAGAATTTACACTTCATAGACAATAATCATTGTACATTGCTATCAGTTATCTACAAGAGAGTTGTAAATAGCTCAAGGACAATAATCAGATATCTGGAAGTTTATGATGTAAATAATATATACTTTTTTACATTGAAGCACAGTTCTTTCCCTATGATAGCCTCAACTCTCTTGATGATGGATAAGGAGTGAAAAAACATTTGAAAACTACTTTTGGGGAAAAAACACTACATAAATTCATGGTTTCTTGGATGTAGCAAATGATTGGGAAATAGGATTCAGAGATCATTCATTACCAACTGTGGCAATTGCCTACTTGTTGGGTGGATTGATTCATGGGAGCTAAGATAATGACTTATAAAGTGTTGGGGACAATAAAGGGAAGAGGAATAAAACATTTTAAGAAGTGATCATTTTGGAAACTCAAGTTCTGTGACATTTAAAAAGAGTACCCTGTTATTGAAAATTGTATTAGAATCCTAGCTAGAATGGAAAAAGTCAAATTATCCTGGTTTGCAGAGGATATGATCTTATATTTGGAAAAACCTAAAGACTTTACAAAAAACTATTAGAAACATTCAGTAAAGTTGCAGGATACAAAATCAACATACAAAAATTAGTAGTTGGCTAGGCA